ATCGGAATTCGCTCTCTCTCTCTCATTCAAAGAGTAAAAAGATAACTTATCTTTTATTTGCACTTTTGTGAGAAAAGCTACATCTTTTTCTCAGAAATTGCAAAAAATCATTATCAATTTGTTATGTTATCTTTACATATACATTATGAGAAGCTAATATCTCATCTTACCGAAGCACATGCCGCAGAGTCCTTGAAGGATTGTCAGTATAATAACCCAGCCGATGTCGCCTTTGCATTCGACACCGAACACCAGGATCATAAAGATCAACACTAGGGCTGTCTGACCACACATCACTACGAATTGCGTGACCACGTGAGAGAAAAGGATTTCGCCGGGCGATACACCAGCTACCCAACTTCGATCCAATAGACCCTCCATCCTCTCGATGATCAGCGCCGATGATGTTAGCGCAACCGCCAGGAAGAAAACAATACTATTAATCAAAGTCAATTTTAGAAAAGCTCATGGGTCAAATTTTTGAAGTGTTTATGCAAACAAAGGAAGAGAATTAAGTTGTTTTATTAAGTGACTTTGATTTTTATTATATTATATATAGAGATACAAAGATCCTTGACTTTTCAAAAAGTGAAGAAAATAAACAAATCGAGAATCGGGTTAAATAAATATTAATTAACTTAAATATGAATAAACTTGGAAATATACAAATAAATTAAATATTATTGAACTTACGTCAATATTACGCCTGGTGCCACAAAGTCCGTGAAGCTGGGCTCATTGGTGCCGTAAATGGGTTCCTTAAATTGAATTGGCACATCAGCCAGTTTTGTATTCTGTTCGCAAGCCGATAAAAGATCCTTGGCAAAATCTCTATACGAATATTGAAGATTTCTCGCCAGCATCAGGCCCACTTGTTGATCTGAAATTGCAAGATTTCACAGTGTATATTTAAAGCAAACTGTATTCAAAATGTGGCCATATTAACACATCTATATAATGTTAATTACATCAATAAGTCAATATGTCGATGAATATGAATAGTAAATGTTTTAATAAAGCTACACGTAAGGAAAAGAAAAATTCGATTGCCAAGCTTAGTCATTGCATGAAAAAAGTATAGATACAAAATGAATAACAAAAGTAAGATTCAACAAATAATTTATCAACACAAAAATATATTTTGTTGGAAACAATAAATAAAAAAAATCAAGTGATAAGAGATAAATAAAAATTTAGTACGTGAAATGTATAATATATATGAGCAAATCAATATAAATATGGTAATGCCTTTTATCGACCTGACGCAAGTTCTTGATGTGTAATAATTTATTATTTCTTAATTCCATGGTATACGTTTTAACCTCTGGATTTTGGATCCTCTTCAGTATAATAAATTACAATTAATAGAAGAAATTCATAAATACATATATCTACGAATGATTCTTATAAGACGCGTATTATGACCGGTTGTAACGATTTTATTTGAACTTGTATAACAATGTTGGCTACGCCGTCTTAATCTCCATTTAATGCATCATCAAATTGTCAGGTTTACTAAGTGATAAAATTACGTTATTGTATAAATTAAATATATGAGCAACAATTAAGCTTAACATTTTTAAGAATTATTAATACTATCAATTGAACAAATATTTACTAGACATGTCTAGCCAAACTCTGATTTCGCTTTGATCGAGAGTCTCGTCATCGGAATCTCTTCCTAAGGCCATCCTCGCCACGAGGGCATCCGTGAAGTTTTCCGTAAAGTATAAGGTGCCCCAAGCATCACCTTTGCGTACAGCTTCCATCGCCGATTCTGGATCCGGATAATATATCTGTAGTAGGAAATAGAACAGAATAAGAAGCGACAAAAGTCGCGTTTAATGGACAGTTGTAAATCAATTTTTATTTTGTTTAGAATTGTATTCATTATCTCGTTCACACTCATAATGATGTGTCACGTTACATTACGTTGCATTAATATTATGTATCTTTATTATATATTTTTATGTAAAAAGACCTTTATCATCGTCTCGTTATCCAAGAAGTTGAGATACCGACAACTGAGAAATGTGAAACTACAGTTCGTTGAAACGGGGCACGTCATATTCTCGTAAAACATCTCATGATTCACTATGGCCAGTTTCAGTCCCGTAGGATCTCTCCCAATCGCCAGACAGAAGAGAATTACTTGCATTACCGGCAGTGCAAAAATAAACAGCATCACGCTATACAAAAATAAATTGTTTCGTAAGACATTAACATATCTTTTCAAACAGTATATTCAAGCAACTATTTGTTTATTGTCTCAAAATTTTGTTAATTTATTTATATGTACACTGAGAAAAAATGTATTAAATTTTAATATATAATTATTTGAATAATATGAATATAACATTTATTTATGGAAAATAAATGTTTGATAAATAAAATATAATAATAGGAAAAAATCAAATTAATAGTTCTTATATCAAATAAATATATGTTTACATTTAGTAAATATTCAACTGGCACTATATATTCAAACAAATATTTATTAAACTTTAGTACATTTTTCTCTCAGTATAAATATATGAAAATGATATATCTTTTAAAAGGAATTATAACGAAAAGAAAGAAACAATAAAGTCAGTATATATGAAAACTTCAGTATTAATTGTTACGTTAAATGACTGTCATGTTAAAAACGTACCCGATATTTCTCCACATACGCAAGAAGTTTTTCTGCAGAAGCGCTTTGATTTTTCCCCAACTGGTGATCTTATAACAGTCTGTAAAATCGCCGCAATCGTCGCATTCCAAGACAGAACTGGCTTTCGCACCTGGCAGTGATTTGCCACTTATCTGTTTTACGAAACCGTTGTTAAAATTAAAATGACTATAGGTCATGTTGTGATTAACCAAAATTTAATAATAATTTAGAATTTTGTTTAAGGTTTCTTATATATGTAGTTTCTTAGTCGAGAAGTTTCAGCTGTAATTCATGTTTTTCTCAGGAATAATTAACGTAGCTAATAAAAATAATCAATTTACGTTTTTAATCTATTTTCTTATTTTTATAGTGGAAATGTAAAGATTAATAAGTGTAGTGCTAACTTTAATAAATTGCAACAACATTAGCATGCCCGGGGCAAAAATAAAAGAAGAAGCATATATGTACATTGCCAACTTAAGTGGATTTAATCCGCTGTGCACCTGAAATAATTTCTTACATCATAATGATTTGCTATTCCGTTAGTTGAGTCGTGGATCAGGACCTCTTTGCTTTGATGAAAGTTAAGACCGACAACACCGGACTCCTCCGTCACGTACACCGGTTCATCTTTTTTCCCCCAGTTTAAAGAAGCCTGTATGTAAAGAAAAAGAAGCGTGTGGCTGGTGGCAATACAATCACGTGTGACGCGACATTTAATTAATGCAAATAAGATAATATAAGGTTCACTACGAAACAAACAAATAATTTTTTGCATAGATACACGTATTGATCACTCATTTATGTAGTTATTAGTTAATTAGACAAAAAAAATTAATGAAATATAAAATTCGGTAAGATAACAATATAACCTAACAAACTTTAATTGTTATTAGACGTATAATATAATATAATAAGAATTAAAATAATGGAAATAGAAATTCAGATATATAAAAAATTCAAATATTAAGAAATAAAAAAGAAATTAAAAATTTTAAGAAAAACTAAAAATTAAAAAGCTATTACTTAAATGTGATAAACATATGACGATAACATTGATAATTACAAAATATTTTAATAAATAATAATATTATTATATAAAAGCTAAGTACTATTCTACAATAAAGACAACAATCCAATTACTTTCATTCAATTTGATTGTCTCTTACAATGTGCAACGTGCCGAACATGTTAATTTTAAATTTTCGCAAAAATTGCGAAACAATACACGAATAAGAACCAAAATGGGAAAAGTGGTTTATTTGCTCACCAAGCTGATGTTGTTCGAGATATTCAGCTCTGTCGTAGGTTGAGCATACTGTCCCTGCTTTCTGGACAGCTTCAGAAAAACCTCTTCGAGGGAGGCGCAGTTATACATTTGCAAGAGAGTCCTAGGTGCCTCCTCAGCCAATAATCGACCGCTCCTCATCAAACCGATCTGTTAATAAAACAGATTATTTGCCTATTACTGTACTTTCGATTAATAGTAAATCGACTGTCTTGGAGATGTAAATTTATAATTTATATCTCAAGACAAATTCATAACATATATAGAAGCTTCCATAAAAAACACTTACCTATTTATTTTTTCGATTTTATTATGTGAGCAATTTTATTGGTCAGACTAATTTATTACATTTTTTAGAATTTTCGATTTAATTGTAAGTTTTAAATCGGAAGAAAACGACGAATAAATCTTCATCGAAAGAGGAATTTTTTCAGAGCGACGAAAGCGTGAAACATTCTGATATTATTTATTGTGAGATACGCGAATTGCCGACAAAAAATCGAGATCAGTATGTCTACACTATAATTTGTGCCTGGCGTAATATGCAGGCGGAATAACTAGCCAATGGCATGATAATGACATGCAATTGGCCAACAGACGTCAATCGTTGGTAAGATATCTTATTAATGCGACGATTTACGTCGAGATCGTTACACTGATTTATTTATTAATTGTTCTTCCGATATATAAATTTAGACATCATTCATTAATCTCATTTCATTAATCTTGTCTAATTTTAATTATGATTTATTTTTGATTGCCATTTTAATTTTTAATGTATAAAGAGTAGAGAATCCCAGTCATATCTCCAGATTAAATTTAGGGTTAATCGATGTTGATAAAATGATGTATAATTATAAATAAAAAACGATGATATTACCGTATGTGCTTGTCGGGCTTCTTCGATATAGTGAGTCGTTATGATAACCGTCTTGTTGCCATCTTTGGTAATTTGAACCAAATGGTTCCATATGCTAAAAAATAAAAAAAACGAGAAATATTTTAATTATGTACATTACATATTTTTAAAAAATATATATAAAGAAGAAAATTAAAATGTGTATATAAATGTCTGATTAAAAGAGAAATTAAATAAAACTACTTGTAATAAAGTATATAATAAAATGTACAACAACATATGCAAGTATCTTTTCGTAGTAAGTCACTAAAAGAAACAAATTTTTGCGAATCACGACAGATTCCGATTAGTCGTACCTGATTATTTTAATTGAAGGAGGGGGGGGGGAGGGAGGAGGATTCTCATGCAATCGTCATTTGTAACGTGATCCGTGTGTATGTGTACGTGTGCATTATTTATGCAGTCGCGCTCGCTATGAGTTTTGTGTGACATCTTAACTTTTCTGACACCTTGAACCTTGTAACATCAGACTAAAAAAGATAGAACTTTTTCATATTCAGTAGGCAAAGGATGCATTATCGTGCGATAAAGAACGTGACGTGGTCTTGAAGAATCGTGTTCAAAAGTGAGAATTTACTTTTCGCCAACGGGCTAATTTTTCGAGCTAACCGTTGCGATACATGCACAATGTTGAGATCAGTCGTCAATTTATAAAACTAGACCGTAACAAAGTAAAAGTCGAAAGTCGCTGTGCTCGATGTAGACACGTTTAAATTATTATATTATATATATTTTAGAAAATATGTATGAGACATGTCACGGCAAAATGTTGTAAGTGCAAAATTTGCAAAAATACACTTTATTTATTTATTTATTTTACGAGTGTTGTGTTCTATCACATATTAATATTTGGCATGAAAAGTGCTGCTAAGCAAAGAAAAATGTAGTATAATTAGTGTAATTCAAAACATTGTAAGTCCATAATGCAATTAACATTTTTCCTTGAATTTCTGGGGAAAAATATTTTATCTATAATTATATAAAATTATATATATAATTTTTATATAATTTTTATATAATTTTATATAATTATATATAAAACATTTTTTTCCGGATTTATAACATTTTGATTTGCATTTTTACTTAAACTCATAATATTTTGAAATTTGAACAACTTTAACAGGATTTTTAAAAATTATAACTCTTATTTTTTTCTAAAACTTCTCTTTATACTTTATTTTTATACACTTCATTTTATTCGTGTCTGATTATTTAAATATTGAATTAAAAATATTTTTGCAAAGATATATTATATAATAGATTTGTATATATCTTAAGTTGTTAATTTTTTGTAGAATTTTTAATAATTTTAGAGAAAATAAGTTTTTTTCTCTCTAAAAATTAAAAAAAATGGTACTTAACGTTTTGCTTCTTATATATTTTAGAAAACTTTATTGACTTTTTCATGCAAAAGAATAATTGATTTAAACACATATTAAAATTAACATAGTTGATAATAAGAGAAAAGAATTTCATACAAAATATAAATTTTTTAGTAATTAATCTACTTTGTAAAGTTTAATATGCCAAATATTATTACATATATCAGTATATTAACGTTATAGTCTGAAGATAATTAAAAACCGAGTATATGAAAATTAATGAATCATAAAAAATTCGATACGTTACGCAGTTAATGTAATCTAACATGTGTCAGAAATTTAATCATTAGTCCAACAAAGTGAGATAGTTGATGATTGATTAAAGTAAGTTGCAACATATTTTTAAAGCGGAACATCCTAAAATACAGTAGATTAAATTGAAAGTGAGCTATGACTTTCCTTGTAATATTCTCTTAGAAAGTGATTGAATCCATAAACACATTTCACGAGACAATTGTGCGCGACTAAGGAGTGAGAAAAATGAGCTGAGATGGTCGTAACAAAGTTGTAACTTTCTCAGATAATGAACAAAGCAGATAATGATTAAAGCTTTTGCTTTTAAAAAATATTATTTTTTATTTCTTCCGTATGTGAAATTTATTTATCTCAGCAAGTCTATGGAAAGAGTGATTATCATAAAATAAATTAAAAATGTACTATAAAATATCAATGAAATCGTCTCTTATGAATATCTAACTAAGCATATAATGATTCCTAACTACAAGTTCTTTTTATTTTATTTGTGTCACGTATGAATGTGGTCACGAAATCACTTGGGAAATTCTCTATGTACCGGGGAATTTCATATTAGCGGAAGCAAAACGCAGAAGATGACAACAACGTGGCAATTACAGTAATTGATTTCCCGTTGTAAAAGTAGGATGTTATTGTGAAAAGTATCTCGGTTAATTTTCCGCTTTATTTGTTTTGCAAATAAAAGCAATCATTTTTCTCCTGAGTGAACAAACTTTGTTCCTTCGCACAGTCTAAGACAAAATGTCATGTAAAAAATAAATTTTGCAATCGTCCTTCTATTAATAATTTTCAATACTTGTAGATTAATCTCAAATGAATCTGTTTTGATACTTTTACTTTAACGAATCGTGTTCTTCTCGAAAATATTATTCGTGTTAATATAAATCTTATTCGTTTCTAAAACTTCTCTTTACACTTTACTTTTACACTTTACTTTACACTTTTATTCGATACGCGCCTGATTATTTAAATATTTGTAAGCTATCAACTTTGTATAGCTGTGGATTAACATATTATTACTTGGTTGCTCCTAAATATACCTATATTTTAAATAAAATATTTTATAATATTAATAAAACATTTATCGTAATTTTACATTAAGAAACAGTATTTAAATATTAAAAATAAGAGTCATGGATATTAATAATGGGATTTAAATTAATATTATTTTATCAATATTATTTTAAAAGTCAAAGTTGCCTAAGCAAAGTCAAAATGCTTTGAGTTTCTATAAATTTAAGCATTAGAGATTTAAGAAAATCTTAAATTTGCCAATACAAATTGGACCGTTTAGAATGTATTTTTATTGATAAACGCATTATTTTATTTCTAACATTCTGTAATATATGTAATGTGTGTGTGTGTGTGTGTGTGTGTGTGTGGGAATTATATACTAAATACGTACTAAATCTTTATAAGCGCGTTTTGAATACTTTAAGTTCACGTTATTAATTTCGTATTATGTAGCTATAAACTTTTGTTATTCAACATGAATCTTAAGTGATTTGATGATAAATAGAAAGAGGCTACAGGAGAAACTACGAGAGGCACGTTTTTCTATAAGTTTAATTTTACTTTTCGTCATTCGTCGCCCAGGTCCGCGCGGGCGATTACTTTCACTTAAGTCAAGCTTAAAGCGTGACTTACAGATTCAGTGCAATGGTGACAAATTCTGCAGGTATGCACGACTTAATCTCAATATTATATTTAGATTTTCAGAGAAAGTGCGAACCGGAATTCTCGTCATTCTCGAATTCACTCTTTCTTTCCTTGTCTTGTTTTTGCCTTGGTCGAGAATAATTATAAAATAACACAAAGTCATTGAGAAATTTCTAAAAAATCTTCACATTTAATAGACATTTTTGCAATGCGGTTTGTAAGTATTAATGTGTTCATATGCATTAATATTTTAACATATATCGCAGTGTTGCTGTAAACTTGCTTTTTTGTCACAGATAACTCTTGATGACAACAAAATGCTTTCATATTGCAATCATAAATCAATTCGTTGGAGAAGTAAACTAATAATATCAACAAGGTGTCATCAGTTTGCTGTAATCTAATATCGAATTCACACGAGTACAACCTAAAACGCACAATGACGAAGCACTTTGTCTTGAGTTTCTAGAAATTGATTGCTTTAACAGTTAATAGCAACATGACGACAACTTCACAAACTATCTGGCTTATCTTAGAAATACAGATTTTCTAGCATTTTTAAATAATTAAGCATTGATGATAATAATAATATTAATTTATTGAACAATATTTAGAAAATAATTTTAATTTATATTAGATACTTTGTCTTTTGTGCGACATATTAAAATATTTATAATTTGTCCGAGCATTTCATGTGTATTATTTTACTAATTATTAGCGATATTAAATTTATTACATACGCATGTTATTTTGCCGTTCATATGTACATATTAATGATTGGAAAAGTAAAAGATTAATTCAACACGTCACGTTTGGCACGACAACTAATTATTACACTAATTTCAAGGATACTTATTAATTATATCTCGTGCAAATAAAAATTAGTTATTAACATTACGAACTGCGTATAATAGTAGCTGTATGAGATATGATGCGCTTTCGCGACTAAAGTTTATTTAAAATGTAAAAAGAGATCTCATACCTTTGTCTTAACAGTGGATCCACACCTACGGTTGGCTCGTCCAGAATCAATAATTCTGGATCGTGCATGAGAGCTACTGCAAAAGATACTCGCCTCTGTTGACCGCCACTAGCATGAAAAAAATATCCGATATTAACTTATCGATAATATATAACGAGAATTTTATTATCCTTTTAACTTTTATTATACTTTTAAATTGAATTAAAATTTGCGTCTCGTTGAATATATTTTTCTTGTTATTAAATAATTTTATTATTATTTTTGCATGTTAACATAATCTGGGGACCGAAGAACGTTCCGCTTGCTTCATAGCCGACGTGAAAAATACATACCTTAGATTCTTCACCAAACGATTCTGCGAAGGCAAATCAAGAAACTGTAGCAAGAAGCGCAGCCTCTCGACGATCTCGGCCGTGCACATTCCGAATATCCAGCCGAAGTACATCATAGTCTCGCGGATGGTAAACTCGCCGTAGAGAGCGATTTCCTGTGGCATATATCCAACCCTTTTTCCAGGTACCCCGGAACCCTTCGTTCCGGGTTTGCCGCCTAGCACCCAGATCTCCCCTGAATTTAATCTCCTCCGGCCAACAATGCAAGATAGCAGGGTTGTCTTGCCGCATCCGCTAGCACCCAGCAGACCGTATCTAATACAAATAATTCACAATTTATTTCACGATCATTAATATCCATGAAATCGGATCCAGAACAAATAATTCGTTTTAAGGACGATCAATGCTACGGTAATGAATCTATATGGAAAGAACGATTTTGTTGAAGTATCTTAATACAAATTTAACTAAATACTGATTTGAAAATAATTTTGTTGAATCATCAAAAAATTATATACGAATGTCAGTGAGCAATGCTGTACAAATTCTTTAAAATTTTTAGAGTAAATCAGACTTTCAAAAATAAAATCTTATTCTTATATAGGGTATCTGATAATTAACAATAAAACTTTCACATAACGGCAGAATGGACTAAACTGGATTGTAAGTCGAAAAGTCCTCTACCATTTTGCAATTTTCGTAATAGTTAACAAAATATTATATACTTAATTACTAAAAATTGTTGAATGTTGATCTTCAATAGTTTTTTTACTTAAATACTATCAACTTTACAGACAAACTTTACAACAAGAGATAAAAATTGTTTATTTTCTTTTCATACAGCTCTAAGAATTTTTACAGAATTTTTTAGTACTGCATTTTCTAATTGAACTATAATGTGTGTATTTACCAACATGAGAAAATACGATATTAAAAAATTCTCAGAACTTTATGAGAAGAAAATAAACAATTTTTGTCTCAAGTTATTTTTCTATAAAGTTGATAGTATTTGAGTAAAAATGTATTAAAAACTACACGGAGAAAATTTTTTCTTAGAATTAACTCTGAAAATATAACAGTCGTGGGACAACATTGTATTTCGAAGAATTTTTTAAAATGTAAATCTCTCCCATTTATTAATAAAACTACAATAAAGTATAAAATAAATTTGATCAATTTTACTAAAGTACATGGTAAAAATCTTTAAAATATTGTATTGTACTATAACTACCATATTTTCAGAATAAATTTTAAAAGAAAATTCTCTCCGTGCAATATTTAGCGATTTTTAATAATTAATATCTTGTTAACTATTGGAAAATTGCAAAATAGTATAGGGCTTTTTAACTCACAAGGGGAACATCAGGTGATGGGATTGGGAATTTTGATGCGCTTTTTACAGGCTGTTCTTGAACAAAAAAAAACGATACGTGTCCGGCCGTTTCAACCTTTGACTCATAGTTTCGATTTTTTAAATAATTATTGTAATAATTTGAAAAATGTACTGTATAAATGAAAATATTAGTATTTTTATAAATTTCATCTAATGTTATTACTTTTTGATTGTAATGAAATTTTATAAAATTACATATTAATATTATAGGTAATTAAACACACATTTATAGAATATTATTATCATCATTATCGTCATCGTTGTTGTTATTTATATGAACGCATAAATAAGATTGTAATAAAAGCTGTTTTTACTTAGTTTCTTATAAAATCAGAAATTGGAAATTATGATTAGGAACAAGTAAGTCATATATTTGTAATCTTTTTTTGATTAATATTAATCGATTTATTAATAATAATAGAAAACTAATCGTGTTTTCTTGTTATTAAATGTTTTGTAGACGTACATTGTATGGGATGATATAAATTATAAAAACAAGAAAAACATAAATATTTATTGCATTGCGAACATTACGAATGAATTTTTGTTGCAGACACAATAACTTTTTTTTAATATCTGGCGGAAAGCAGATTTAATTGACATTATGGAAATAGCTTCTTTCAGGAATCAATTTCGATGAGAACCAAATTTTTCATTCTAACATGAAATTCATTCTAAAATTCACAAACATATGACTTATTTGTTCCTAATCATAATTTCCAATTTCTGATTTCATCAGAAACTGTAACAGTTTTCATGATAATCTTATTTATGCGTTCATGTAAATAACGACAACGATGACGATAATGATGATAATAAATATTCCATAAATGCGTGTTTAATTATCTATAATACTAATATGTAACTTTTATGAAATTTCACTACAATCAAAAAGTAACTAAAACTAATAACATTAAATAAAATTGATAAAAATATTGATATTTTTATTTATACAGTACGTTTTTCAAATTATTACACTAATTATTTAAAAAATTGATTTCTTCGAAACTATAATATAAGTCAAAAGATTGAAACGGCCTGACACGTATCGTTTTTTTTCGCTTAAGAAGTCTGTAAAAAGCGCATAAAAATTCCCGACCCCATCACCTAGTGTTCCCCTTATCAGTTTAGTTCATTCTGTCGCTATGCGAGAGTTTTATCGTTAATTATCAGACACCCTGTAGATGGAAAATTAAGCTTTTTTCAAGACTGGCTCAATTTTTACTCTTTAGAGTGAAATTTTACTTCAAAGAATTTAGAGAAAATTATTATATTTTAACATTAGAATATTTTAACATTAAAATATTTTAATATTAGAACAATTAGTTTAGCATTCCACGTAATTATTTTTATGGTCTAACAAAATTATTTTTAAATCTATATTTACAGTTAAATTTTTAAATAGCAAAACCGATTTTTCTATGCAAATTTTACTTTAAAGAATGCAAGAAAATAATAACAAATTAGTAGAAAATCTTAATATCTTGAAATTTTACTAAATAAGAAATGTGCTTGAGTTCAGGACACCCTATATAAGAAGCCAATCTTTACAAAAGAACTTGTAGACTGATAAAAAAAGTTTATGTGCATACATCAAAGAAGCTTTAGCCTTCAAGACCATCTCTGGATGAATAGACAAATCAATCACTTCATTTACATTTGCAATTTTCATCAGAATGCTAAGAACGAAAGCGTAGTTAACCAACTTAAATAGTCGTGGTCCTTGAAATCCAGGTAAATACAAATTCTCAGGGATTATTCGTAACTATAATACTAAAAGTTTTAGCGGAAATCGAGCGACGCAGTTGTTTACATAATTGATAAGCGCTTGCGCAGAAGTTTTGCGTCAAACGGGACAAAACGATTATCGCGGCCATCATGAAGTGCATGCAGTTTGTCAAAAAAATTTATTGTAGTATAATAAAGGAATAATTAAATAATTAGATAAATAATGAATAATTAAATTTGAATTACAATGATGGGATCAGCTAAAGACTGAATGCGAACGTGACGTAATTCGCGGCGAGGCGAGGTTGAAAATATGGGACTTCGTACTAAAGTAAATAATAAAGAAATTTTTATTGATTAGTCATTATATCTTTTCTTTAATGCATAGGACATTTTATGTCAGCATTGTCTGTTCCTGACATTCTTTTTCAAATATGGAGTCTTGCTCAATAAAAGGTGCGTTCCAAAGGTTCTACTTGAAGCTCGCAATTAAGCATTATTTGTCCTTGTTTAACAATCGATGAACAAAAAGAAGAAAATGATTAATCTTAAAGCGTTGCGAAAGTCAAGTAGAACGCTCACAAAGGCTGATTAATTGTTTAAGTAAGAAAATGGCAGATACTTGTATCATTATTTATGAACGTTGATCATAATAATCTACTTATTATTGTTTAGAAATTTCACAGAAAAACAGAGTGATTAGATTTACATTATACAGTAATTAATCAGAATGAATAATATGATTTTACTACAAGAAAAAATCGGTACGTTTCCGACGCGATCAAAATAACATAAGTTTTTTCGATTTTTTAACGTATTAAGTGAACGTGTAATTAAGTTGCGTAAATAATCGATTTATCTTACAAATTCGACTGAAGTCTTACATAAACATTGATTCTGATATAGTGATATTTTCATAATTATAATTTGTATAAAAAATACCTTTATGCCTAACAATAAAAAAGTTATTATACATATCTAAACGAAATCGTGGAACGTAAGAAATGTAAAAGAAACAGAGGAGTTGTCCTTGCAATATTTACCATATTTTTTACAAATCTTATTTTTAGATCATAAATGAAGAACGTTCTCATAAGGTGTTTAAGTATTAATTATCTACAAACAACTGCGAAAAGATTAAAAACAAGATGTCCTTGATTAGCGTCTAAACTTTTTTAAGCACTCATAATTCGATTTCATCAAAAGAAAAATGCATTTAAATTGTAAGTCAATGTATATAATAAAACTAAATGAGATACTTGATGAATTATTTAAAAATATTCTCATCAAATTCTGTACGGACATATTTGTGTTAGAAAAATAATATAGAAGGAAGATTTTTTTTACAGGCACAAAATATTTAAAATATAACTGCCAACATATTTTCTATCAACATATTTTATATTATTGCAAATAACGTTAAATTGTTAAACATAAACATTGGCTACATTCTGACAGCACTCTATTAGCGCTATTACGTCATTTTGTCCTTGTTTTACATCTAATGATAAGAATAAAATAAAACATAATAATGCAGATATCGTGCGCTCCTTGAATACAGTCATTGCATTTCGTCCCAATTTTTAGTACGGCGCAAAAGTTGTACTATTATATTTTTAGCTTCGTACGCTTTGTGTTTTCGCAATACATACATAATTCTGGTTTTTTTGCACAATTTAGGCTAAAAAAAATAGTCGTACAGCTCAAGATGCATAATTTACACTAAATTGTTGTTCCAACTTTGTGGTGATTAACACAAAGGGTACATAATCGTATATCTCGATCGCATAGTTATTACGAAACGCATACCAAAATGATTATAACGGGTATTATTTATTTTAAGTGTTTCAATTTCCTGATAGCTACGTAGTGCACATTGTTGTTTCGCATTATGAAATAACTAAAATCATGATATATCCTTATCGCAAATCGGGGTCTCGCGATTTAAGCCATGCATTTACCGCGGATGAAGGATCGCGTTAATTTAATTGCGCACAGTGGAGGATTAGTCGTTTACAATAAATGGTTCGTTAAGATAGAAAACGAGTTTCTCACGTCGCGCTTTCTCAATGTAACACATTAGGCAGAGAGGCATAAGCACGCATAATTTTTCGCGATTTTGATCTTTATTATTACGTGAGGAGAGTTTAAAGATCAGGAAGTTAGGCAATATCTTGAGAGGCAACAAATTCATAGTAATATTAAATATACACGTAATAGAAAAATTAAAAAGCTATATATTATTATGATTATTATTATCTCATTGATGTTATCTTGTTTCAAAAAATTTTACGTCGAGCATTAAATATCTGGAAAAATTATCAAATTGTGGATATTAAATGTCGAATTTTTGCTAATTGAAAATGTTCATTTTAGCCATATTAGTTTTATTGTTAGCATATCATCTTGTATACACTTTTATGATGTTTCTCTCTCTCTCTCTTTCTCTCTCTCTTCTTTCTCTCTTTCTTTCTCTCTTGAACAATATAATAATAAAACTAAATAACTTAAGAAAAAATTATAGTAATTAGAAAGATCAAAAAACACTAGCAACGTTTATTGGATCTTTAAAAATAAACTAGTATATTACAACATACATTAAGAATTAAACTAGTTTTTTATTTATAAGTTATTCGGAAACGTTTCGATTATACTAATTGTAAGTCTTCTTCAGTTCATAAACGAAAAATAATAAAAAAATTGGAAAGAAAGATACAATACATCAAAAATATGAAGTCATATCACCATGGATTGATCTTTCTTTTTAATTTTTAATTATTTTTTGTATATGGATTAAAGAAGACTTGTTAGTACAGTCGAAACGTTTCCAATTAATTTTATACATAAAAAACTAATTTAATTCTTAATGCATATTATAGTAAACTAATTTATTTTTTTAAATCCAATAAACGTTGCTGTTTTTTGACCTTCCTAATTATTAATTTTTGCTTAGCAATCTCGAGCTAGATATTTAAATGACTTAAATTTCAAAATCCTATCATAACCTTAATCCTTGAATTTATTACCAACAGATATACCATATTTTTAAATATTTTAAAATAAAATTGTTAAATAAAAACGATGTCGAAAGAACTACATATAAAAATCAGTCTATCGACTCTAAAAAAATATAGACTTTTTTAAGAAATGGCATTTATTGCAAAATGGTTAGGAGAAATGTATTAATGCTAATAGAACTTATTTTGATTAAATAAACTATCTTTTTAAAAAAATGCTTATAATGTTTCAATTATTTATTTAAAAATCTGTAAACATTTTTTTTACTATATATGTATCAACCTAATATATCTCGCGGGATCTTTATTAAACAATCATCCGATCGTTATTAAATAATACACAGTACTCACATCGAGCCCTTAGCCACCGTCATGCTAAGATTCTGTATGACATGGTTCGGATTCTTGCTGCTGCCGTAAATCTTAAAAGCGTGCCTGACGCTGACCGCCTGCTGACGATTCCAGGTGGGGTTGTTCAACCCCGGCGTCGCCAATACGGGGTTGCTCGATGTCACCGTCGCCAGATCCATGTTACTGTCCCCGTTGTTGCTCTGCATCGTCGTCGCGTTTGCGGCACCCGCACCTCCGTCGCTGTAAACGAAAGCGCACGTGATGGTAACGAGAAAGTAACAGTGGAATTACGGCGGAATAACGCCGATATCTTATATTGCGGTCTTGTACGATAGTGATTCGGCAGAGATCTCTCCTTGTGTTCGCGCAGATACTTGCAGCGTGTCGATTAAAATTGCGATGCAGTATCTCGCAACAGGTTATTGCAATGTGCTCTAGTAAGAGTGAACTATTGCATTGGCTTTTCCGTGAATAGAACATGTGTAACAAAGATATGATTGAAAAACGGACCATGTAAATTTTTCTTATTTTGAATATTTTCTTATTTCATTGAAAAGGAAGTATTTTTCCGATTAACTGATTTCTTTTGAATGTTGATCTGTCAAAATTTTGTTAAAAATCAGAAGAAACGATTTTCAAAAGTTTTCTTAGAGTGTCACAAATTTGATACATGTTGATACACTAAACTATTCAAAGGATCCAAAAGCGAATGTTGCCACATGAAAATGCCGTGTGTGTTAAGCGAAGAAATGGCAAGAAACGATTCTGCAAATCTCGGCGCGAATCGCGCGGCGTGTGTATAGAAAGAGTTGAGCGATGCGATTGCATAACTGGACACGCGGCTTTCTTTTCGCTTACGCGTGTGACGATTCATTGGGCAATACATGGACACAATCGTGTGTGTGTGTGTGTGTGTATGGGTGTGTATTTAACATACAAATGTGTGATCAAAGATGCAAAGTACGTAACGTATGTGCGATATAGCGGCATGTGCGCGCGTAATGCCGCGCAAGTGTGAATTTTCGCGCTCCCGTTTCGCGTACGCTGCTGCTTCGATGAACTCTTCGTCTTGCGATTTCCCCTTTTTGAAGGCGATAGCCCGAATTCGTATTTTACTCATAAGTTTGAAATTATTATACGCCTTCGATAAAAGATACCTCGTTTTAATTATATACGTCGTCCGGGAAAGCGTTTCCCCTTCTATTGAGATGTCGACAGACTTCACTCTTTTTGCTCAACGCATTTAATTGAAAGTGCCGTTGTTTATTACATTTTGCCATTACTATCTGTTGCACAAGTTCGTTGAATTAACTCAAAGCAGTTGAATTAACTCAAAGAAATCGATCGTCGAACAATGATCTGAATAACATCGTTATCTCCAGAGTAATCAAAGAAAGTTTCAAACACGCTACTAATAAAAAAAATATTAATTGTAATAGAGAAAACGTATAATTATTATTAACATGCCAACAACGTATTAAATCAGTTATATGTTAAAATAAAACACTAAATCAATCGCAATTATTGTTTATTTATAGGGGAAAGTGGGAGAACTGCGAACATCTAAAGGAAAAGTTGAACAAAGTCGATTATTTATTAATTATATAAGGCTTTATTTAAAAAATATCAAAAGTTATTTATGTAGTTTTAAACTATGATAAAATATAAACTGTTTTAAATAAAAAAACAAAATTGTTTTCTTTTGCTGTTATCATAAAGAACAATGCCAAATTTATTTCTCTCTCTCTCTCTCTCTCTCTCTTTTTCTTAATTTAAATTGTAATTTATATTGATCATATAATTATTAATGTAAATTATTGTAGTTTAAAGCCAATATTGTTTAAATAAATATTTCTAATTGATAAATAATTATTGATTTTATTTAACTTTTCCCTTAAGTATTTGCAATTCTTGCACTTCTTTCTATATTAAAAATATTGAAAACATGTAATGATATTTATCTTAAACGGAGTATATTTTTTAATGTTTAAGATATAAGTGATACTGAGAATATTTCTAAATATTCTGAATATTCCACTGAATACGAGAAGTGAGTGGCTATCGCTACTTTAATATAATATTTTGCGAGTTTTAATGGTTTTGATCGTCAAAAATAAAAGATCGGAGCATCAAATTGAACAAGTCTCGAATTTATTGTAATAACTATAGTCTCAAAACGGGACATATCTTAACTCGCTTGTGTCTCTAAGTCAATTCTTTCCATTTCACGTCCTCGCTTTCGGTCGTTTGCATCTCTCAAAATTTCTACGAATACCAAATATTATTTCGCATAACCTTGTTTAAAAATTTTAAATCAAATCAAAATTAAAATTAATCAAAGGAATCAGAATATCAATCATGTATATGTTGCAATTTAGTAAGCCTCTGTTTATTTTCGCAATAACAACAGGTATTTCGAGACTGCCAAAAGAAATTTACACATTTAAAAGACTACTGTCTCATTTTTGCGACCAATGATTCGTGTATAGCCGTTTCTACCGGTGTGAACGTTGTGTAAATGTGTGTATGTACGAGTGTGAATATGTCATTGTCTTGCACCAACGAATTCCGTGAAGATGGATATCTGTGACAATCATGTAAAAAAGAGTGGGGGAATTATGAATACGGAACAAATACGGCAATCGCCACAGTATAATTTGTATTTGTCCCGTATTTATAATTCCTCCACTCTCCTTTACGTGATTCATGTACACACACACACACACACACACACACACACACATGTGTATATATATATATATATATTTCATAAATAAAGAGGTAACAAGCTGGATATATACGAACACCCGCGGCTTTAATATCGTGTTGCGAAACACGCATTTTCTGAAGTTTTCACACATATTTATTCACTAAATTATCACACATTGCGTTCGTGAAGGGGAATGATGTAGCAACGTTTTGCCGTATGTAATTATTCTGAGTTATAACCATACCGTCGGTATGTATACCCCATTTCAGACTATGTAAAAACTGTACCGTGCGTAAAAATCATATAAAATGTATGCGCGCCCGCAGTCGCGCGCGAACAATTTCGCGTGTTGCAGACAGCATGAGATTACATGATGAGAACTCAAATTAGATTATAATGGTTTAAAGTATTTAGTTAAAATGTAGAAAGTATTGCGCATTCATTATTAATTATCCGTACTGCAATAGAACGGTCATTAAAAATCAATAATTATTAATAGTGAATTCGGTTGGCTGCACTAATGCGCACTATAATACTTATGAAAGCCGTTGTTTGCATTGATTTAATCTGTATAAAAGTAAATTTCGAATTGTAAAATACAGATTTTATTTAATAGTACAATAAAATACATTGAGGATTTCGTAGTCCAATTCGCTTTTATATTTATATATTATTTTTATATTTATATTTATAGTTATTAAACATACATTTTTTACGTCAATTTGTATACGACAGCTTTAGCGTGCACCAGTGCGCACTGAGTGCATCCAATCGAATTCGCTATAAGATGAATTCTTATTAAAATCGATTTTGTTTACTGTCATTGATTACCCGATCCCTGCATTGTACGTTTATTAATTCTAAACGGCGTGCTCTCTTTCATCTTGTAATCTGCTTGCTCAATTTTTCATTAATTTTGGCCTATAAGATAATTTGATGATACCTTATTTGATTTTGAAGTTAAAAATAAAAAATTCAAAATGGTAAATCTAATACGACAAATAGGATTTCAAACAAATAATTCAATTATCATCAACGCGTCTTTAGAGAATTTTTAATTATAAAATAATATTAAATTTGCAGTTTTGCTTTATTAGTTCTCATTATTAATAAGCTCATTATTAGTAAGTACTATACTATGCAAACAGTACTACTTTCTGAATTAATTTGCCTGATTATGAATCTTTTGATAATAAAGCCTTCTTCATCGCTCTTTTAAAATTTCACACATGATAATCAAATTATTTTTTTTTATTTATATTTTTTAATTTAAATTTAAATTTTACACTGAAGAGAACCCAATACTAGGGTTGAAACGTCTGTATCACATTTTTATTATATACATTGAATTATACACGTGTGAACAACAATTGGTGTCGGCTCACATTGTCATTTCCTTTTTACAATATTTTTATTGTTAATTTATTTAGAGAGTCTTATACTATATTTCTGATGTTATTGCTAAAACTCTTAGAAAACAAGGTTTCTTAAAAGTGTTTTAGCTTGAAGGATTAGAATATCATAATGACTATTCTTGAGATTCTATAATTAGATTCTCTTATCGGATTATTAATCAATTACTTCAAAACGTTTATAGCTATGTTGACCTGTACTAATGACCAATCTGCTTCTTTATTGCAGCGAACAATTATTTCATTACTGACGTTTGCAGATGTAATAAAGAAAACTAAACAATTCATTATTTTTATTAATATCGTTGATACAAATATTCAAAAAATAAATAAGAAAATTAGCTAATTAATTTTAATGTATAAATAATTTATTAAAATTAATTAAAACATGTGATAAAATATGTTTCAAAGTCATGAATTAATATTAACTATGTAAAGCGATTTGTGACTTCGTCGACGTATGACGTTAATCACAATTTGCTGTTAATTTCCTTGGCTACGCTTTATACTTTCTTTATTGCTGAATTATTCGTTTTAATAAGTTGCCAATGATTGTACAAGAAACAATGTTTTGTTTGTAACTTATGGGTATTATATTTTATGTAAATAAAATGTATTATTGAATAGAATAGTAATACTCCGATTTTGAATAAAAACTACTAATTAGATAATAAATCAAGCTATTGTAAAACATAAATTGAATGAATACATTTAAATTTTTATATATATACTTTGATATATACGAGTATATATATATATAAGTATGTTTTTAAATACCAAAATAATATCTGAAATATAAATAATTAAAATAATATATATCTAAAACTAATACATGACTTTATATCATAATGTAACAAAATTTAGCATGTATTTGATCTACAGACAAAATTTAATTCATTACTTATATATGCGGCATTTAATAATTATAGATAAATGTACTGATAAATTGTCGATATCATTTGAGGGAATCCATTGTTGCGAGCAAACGATCTTCATCTATGTAGGTCGACGCGCGCGGTGACAATAATAATCGTTTTTATGATGTTCGAGGATACTGCGAATCTATCGCGATGTATTGCGGCAAACGACTTACAATACCGGACGTGCAGAATACGTAT